TATATATATATATATATATATATATATATGTGTGTGTGTGTGTGTATATATATATACTGTATATATAGTGTGACTTTTTAGCTTTATTAATATAGGCTATATAAAACAAGAATCCAGCTAAATGCTGGGATATTGAGGATTCATTCTTAGCATAAAGTGCATGAAAATGAAGAAAGCCATAAGGTCATGAAGAAAGAGTAAAATTTACTGCATTTTTCAAGGGGTCAGGAATGTATGTGCTTAGGGCAGATGTAGGGAGCAGACTAAGAGATTAGTGGGTATCAATCAGGTTGCTAGTGCGTTTCAAGTTTAGGCTTGTCTGTCAAAATATGATTTTAATTGTTTTCCTTGTCTTCTGACTTTGGGTATTCGCTGTAACACACATTTGATGATTTACACTTGCTATATTGGATGTTTATATGCAGATGCGCATTAGATCGGTAGGTGACGTCATACACACTCCGCTTGCGTTTTACCAGAAATCAACAAAAAAAGAAGGAGGCTTCCGGAAAAATGGCGAACGAAGGGTGATTGTTTTGTTAAGTTCTGGTAAATGTCAATATTTGTTTAAATCACACGGTTCTTTTCTCGCCGATAGGAACTGTAAATATGTATACACCATTTTCCGTTCTGTTCGAAGCCTCGGCTTTTTTGCAAGATCGACGTTGTTTTGTCAGATTATATATCGCGGGCTATTTTTGTCATATCAGCCGAGGATCTCAAAACGAAACTGCAGTCCTTGTGTCATTTCGGTAGATTATCTGATGAGGTTTTCAGTGTGTCTGTCAAAAAACCACATAACGATGACTCAAGATAAAATAACCTCAATGTTTACTTATTGAATGACCGCGCGCCAGTTAATCTATTTATAGACTAATGTGATTTGATTAAGAGACTTCGCTTTATAATTATGATGAGATCAAATACACAATTACATTTGCGCTAATAAATCGGATGAGTGCACCACACTGTGTTTGCTCTATGGAGCAGCTACCGTGTTATTTCTTGTTTTGTTTTAAAAAATAAATAAAAAAAAAACAGTTGTTCGTCCATTAACCAACTGCCTTTCAAGTGTTGCTAAGAATGTTTTATTTTATTCTGTGAAATTATTTATTCTATATAACCTATGGTGTAACCTATGAATACACTCCATATTTGTAACGATTTTCTCCCTTTCCATACCACGTGGAAACAAATTGACTTTGGATAGACTTTAATGTTAGTACAGTCTCTGGGATTGTACCAAAAGGCTAAACCTACTTACTAAGTAAGTGAGAATATGCAATCTTGTTTAAGGAAATGTTTTCTTGTGTTAAATATGATGTTTCTAGCAAATCACGAACTGCTTGTTTGGTTGATTTCTACCAGGAAATATCGACCATATCTATAGTTTCCCTTACAGACACTGACAACCATCAAGACAGATCTTCTATCTAATAAAATGTGCTCCTCCTTAAACAATACGATATTCGTGATGTTTTTCAAGTTATTTATGATAGTCTAAACTAATACAAATTTCAAGACAACTCCTCTGTCTCCTAGAGAGTAAATTAAATAGACGATAAACCAGAGGAGTATAATCTCACAAATGATATGCACTAAATTGCACCAAGCTATCATGGTTAGAGAATGATAAGCAAAGCAAGGGGCAGACATAGATAAGGCTCTCGTGATAATTTTCCAACGAGTGTTTTTGCAAGAATTCAGAAAGACACGATGCTGCTACAAGATTATTTAGATCCGAAGTTAAAATATGGCATAATCAGTTCCAGGAAAGATGTGTGTGATTGGTTGAAGGAGAAAACGCCTTCAAAACTGCCTTTTGCAGAAATTATTATATTTGGACTAATGCTAACTGCGGAGGATTTGTTAATGTAATATTTACATTTGTGCGCGAATGTATTTGGTTTTCCCTCTCTGTTCTTTCATATTGAATTGAATTTTGTACACATACATAAAGGGAATGTCTGGATCGCAGCCATTGTCTGTGACGCGAGCGCTGGAGCGCATGCGCCGGAAGTTGCTGCCGCAGACAGCAACACTGATTCGGCAACGCAGAGCAACAACACTAGAAAAAAAAATCAGAACACAGTATCCAAATAATACTAATCCAGTACGATGCTCTGAACCATGTATAATACCATGATCCACGGAGAGTAAGTATATCATTTGAATGATACTACCGTACTGATTTTGTGCACGATTGCTTACTATCCATCCATTTCATCAAGCTTTAAGAAGCAACAAAGGAGTCAGCTCTCTATTTCATTTAGTGTGGAAGAGATGGCTACTTATGCACTTGGCCTTCAGCTTTAGGCCAAAACACAAAATCGACATCAGTGCTTATAAAACAAGAGTTAAATACTCCGAAAACCCGCGTATGTGAGTTGTTCTAGCACAAGCAATGCATTTATTTGAGTGATTTTTTGTCTACTCTCTGCTGACTTCCAATGAATGAATGGACATTTAGCTGCAATTTTAACTGATGTGTTAATAGATTCAATTTTCCTATACAATACTTGCAATGTTCTTGCAAATGTTATGTATTTCTATAGCATAGGCTGCGTTTTAGGGATACTTGGTGTTGTTAGAGGGCCTTTTGGAGGGCAGACTGCAGACTTCGCATTTGATCCTCTCGACAAAAAAAATATATATAAATTTATGGCTGTGACCTTTGCTGAATATCAAAGGCGTTGTCTCGAAATGTCACCGGGGATTTCTCCGCCGAGAAGCAGTGCGGTATTTGAAGCTGGGGGTTTTGACAGCCGACAGCAGATTGGCTGGTGGGTGGAAAGTTATAAAGTCGCATATCATTAGAGGGTTTATTATGGTTTGCAGAGAATTGACTGCGATCCACATACATGCACGACTTTTGTGAACGACGCTTGGCCATTTGGATAGCAATGTTCAGTTGCTCTGTCATAAATCTCAGCTTTAGTCTAGCCAGATGGAGTCGTTATAAATCTTTTGAGTGCAAAGAAATCACAGAAAAATCACACGGTTTCATGTAACAACGCTGGCCACCCATGCAGCAAGTATAGTCTTTGTGTCATTAAAATTAAAATGCATATCCAACGTGTTTTACCGATTGCACCTGCTTCATTAGAATACTCGTTGTGTTTGCCTTGAATAGTGCGTTCTGTAAATTAGCCCCCCTGCAACAAGCTTCTTAAAGTGCACCGTCTGCACCAAGGTGTTTATGAATTAATTACACTATGTTTTAGACTCGTAGATAAGTGCTGTTTCAGATGAAAGGGGTCGGCAAGGTAACAAAGGGTTGACGTCATGCATCGCATCCGCCCGCATGACTTCCAACTCTGAATCCCGCCCTTTTAATTTCAGAAACCGGCGTGATTGGTCGAACGCACTGCTAGACGCGTCGTAGTCTAACCGAGAGCCAATGGGAGGAAAGCTTCCGTGTTTATGTATAAGAGTGGGCGGGGCTAGTTGGCGGAGAAACCGGAGCGATAGACGCTACTGCTCAATCTGGTGTAGGTGTCTCCGCGGCTGCCGGTGTTGAATTGGCCACTTTCTGTCGCGGTCCAGGGGATCTGTAACCATGCATTTCGGTCTTGTGGACGGGTGCTAAATGATTGCGTCGAATGTCATTCGTAAATAACTGGATCCCTGGGTAAGATTAAAGCTTGTGTATTAGTAGACTTGCCGTATTTTATTCTTGACCATATGTTGTGTTCTCCGACCGTGTTGCGTGTTTTCATCAGAGGATTTCATGCAGTCAGCAGACTCTTGGCAGCACTGAGCTTTTCCCATCTGTGTCACTGGCAAACAACATGAATCACTGCCATAAACATTCCTGCATTGCATGCTCAGTAGATTGTTATTGTAATGCAAAAGTTGAGGATGACCTTTGTAAACATAGCTGGAATGTGAAGAATACCCAGAGCATCAAAGGTTCTGAAACATTTGCTGTTGGTTTGTGTGTTCACGTGCTTTTCTTTTTTTCATGAATTCTTTCTAACCATTCTTAAAAGCGCAATTACCTAGAGCTAAAGAGTGTTTATTTGATTTACGCCTCCGGTATCTTGTGCTCACTCCTTTAAACCCGGAGCTTGACATTAGTTACCCACTGAGTGCAGTTTTATATCATTGCTCTGTCTTCTGTCTGCCCTACATTTTCCAAAGGCTGGATAATTAAATTTCAGACTCCTATTTCCAGAGAAACACGGTCTCCTATTCTCAGTACAATTATCGAGCGTGGTGAAGGATCATTTTGACATCTGGGTGTAACGTTTCTCTTCTATGAGGAGCCATTATGTGATTTGGCTTTTTGAATGGATCACGGGGGCAGTGCTTTCAAATATGCATGCCTACTCATACATAAAAACATTTTCACTCCTGCATTTGTCCTTTCTGCAGTCACAGAATCCACAACTTTTTTGTCAGCGTAACTAGTCTTTATTTGGCTGATCCATTTTTCATTCATTCGACTGTATGCATATCATACAGAATATGCATATTGATATTTAGTGACGTGCATAGCTTGAGGCTTTGGCTTTTTATTTATTTTTTTTGTAAACATCTACATCGGCAGAGAATACATGTGGTAATCAAACATTTGTTTGACACAAATTACTCCATATTAGTTGTTTATAGAGCTGTTGTATAAAAGTAATAACACAATCTTGGTTTAGTACTGAATATCAGCACTGCTGTGTTTACCTGAGGCCTCATATGACAAACTATGATATCTTTGATTTTGAAAGTGCAAACACCTTAAAAATGAAAGATTTTTGGTAAGTTTTAGAAAGTTTTGCATAGATAATTGACACAAACCTTAAGATTGGTGGCAGTCAACTAATGTAAAATGATGAGCTCTTCACAACACAATGCAAAGATAACTAACAATAACAAATAACTAGCAAACAAAACAATAATACCATGACAGTAACCAATAACCATATAATGTATTCATGCTGCAATGCATGCTGGGAATTCACAGACCCTTAACATTTTAGCAATATTGTTCAGTTTGTTTTTTGTTCAGACAACTGTGTTTGACTAGTTGACCTGTTGGCCTAACAGGTTTTTATGCAGTTTCAAAAACCCTAATTCAACAATTCTTAGTATTAATTAATTATAAGTCACGTAAACTTGAAAATATGTAGTAGTTGTTTTTTTACAGTGAATTTTTGCTCAAGTGATATTGCTTAAATGTCATGTCATTATCCATTGTGTAGTAAGTAACCTCTGCTAATGGAATAACCATGTGGTCACGATGTTAAAATATCTCCAGGTGCTTGGTTTTGCAACGCATGGCAACCTGCTAATGCATTTGATAATTAACGCATTCCTCTGAGTGTGCATGGAGGGCTTATGGCTGCATTCTCCTCTTTGAGTGGTTTGTTTAATTGACCTGCCTGTGCTAAGCAAGAGGTAAATAGAGAGAGAAACAGTGTTTGACTAATGTTTACCATTAATAGTAAGATAGAATCAGTCATTATAGAGGAAATGCCAAACGTGGTAACCTTTTTTTTTTTTTTTATAAATACCATAGATTTGTCTCATTCCAGAAAGAGACATGCCTTGCTGCTTTTGTAAGCTGGAGAGAGATGATCATTTCTGACCATGTGATTATCACTGACCATATGTTTTATTAAATAGTTTTGTGGTATATGTGGTCACTAAGTTTTATGTGAAGATTTAAGCATGAGGATTGTCACAATTTGCAATCATGTGATTTTTTTTCCCCCTGGCTGTTGGTTCCAGTCCTTTGCCTGTGAGGCTCAGTGTCATGTTGTAAATACTGATAGTAATTGCTGTGAGAGACACAGACAATCTTGCAGTTTTGAAGATCAGTTGAATGAGGTCCAAATTGACAGATTTCTCAACTGAAGGACGAGCAATCACAGCTTGTGAGTCAGCAGATGACAAATTACAGCGTAAGTGATGGAGAGGAACCCAAGTGGCAGTAGTGAAGAAGATGGAGATGATGAGGACTTATGGGCTCTGTGTTCATCAGAACCTGAATGTGGTGATTTGAGAGTTCATTTTAAAGAACAGTTTCACCCAAAAATGAAAATTTGCGAAGTGAAGTGAAACTTGTGAAGACCTGTGAGTTTGTAAAAAAAAAATCAAATCCATTATTTGGATGTTTTTAACTTCAAAATCTTGCTTTCAGTTAAAATAACAGTCCTTTACAAAATACATTTTTTTCCAGTGAATATTTAACACATTTATCTTCTACAGTTATGTGCATCTATTAATGAGTTTTCAAACACACAGAAAGTTTCTGTTTCCTCATAACTAATCTGAATTTTTTTGTTTATCAGTTGTTAGATTAATAGTTAAATCTTAGTTCAATCTAAAAAACAAACAAACATCTAAATCCACTGTTAAAAACCAAATGAAGACGACTCTTTCAACTTTGTTCCTAATTATATAACATCTTTTGTTTGGCTTGCAAGAGAGCCTGATCGAGCTTGCCGATCAAAGCTTGCACATCTAGCCTGTGTGTGTTTGTGGTGTGCATATTCATTTGCACAGCTGTTTTCCACTGCACGTCAGTTGGAGAAAAATGCATGTTCGCAGGTCTGTGTCTCATCTCTTTCCCCACCTATTGAGAGTGAGAGTTAAACACCCAGCTGTTAAACCAGGCCACACACAACACACACACACTCTTTTTCAGTTCTCAACATCTTTAGTTACACTAGAGCCATAAAGCCTCAGTGCCGTCTCTCTCCTGTGCCTGCCCTTTATATCGCTTCAAACAGACCAGATCTCTCTTTTCCTGCACCCTAAAGCAAGTAGCTGTGGCCTGACTCATAAAATCCCTTTGTATGAGGGTAAACTGCAGGTCTGAAGAGATCAGCTGAGAAAGAGACTCAGATAAGCCTGTTAGATGAGAGTGAGGAGCCTGATGTCATTGAGGCCAATTGGGCCATGTGCTTTTACCGGACAGGTTTAGGTTGTCTTACAGGGCCTCAATGATTGGTATGTCAATTTTCTGTTGGACTTGGTTTGTTGTCTATCCAGTTGAGGGTAGATAAAGCATAGCAGTCTGCGTGAAAGAGATTTTTCCCGGGGTTTATGTAGCTGTTAACTGCGTTTGTTGTAGTGTTTGTGTATTTTGCAAAGCTAGCTTTACTATAAGTTTAACTAGGACTGGGCGATATAGCTAAAAAATGTATCAACAATATAATGTTTCATATCGTTCGGTATCGATAATTATTGACATTTTTTATAACCTTTTTTAAAACAGAATAGAAAAATTTTTTTTACATTTAACCACTGTATTTTTAAATTAACTCAATTTATTGAGACAAACAACAAATATTTTTTTCTTTTAACAGTCAAAAACAAAATAAAAATTAAACGAATATCTAATTTCTAATGTTTTATATGCAGATTAAATAGGTTAAACTTTTGGCTTGTCTCCCGAGGCCACAGGAGGGCTCAATGAGCAAAATAATGCAGCACATTAAATTGTCAACTTAAGGAAGTAACTGTCTATAAAAAAAAAACAACGTGCATTACGTCTAAAAGAACTCATATAAATCAAATATAATTTCGTAAATTGCATAAACAATTATGAACAAAACAGCATCATGTATTTATGCATTGCTTAATCCAAAGAGCCGAATCTCCCATCACACAGATTGCCTTTAAAAGCATATGAGACGCAGTGAAAAGGAAAAAACCTCCACAAAAATGCGCAACGTGTTTTCTAAAAGTTTAAACTGTTTTAACTTTGCATAGCTTTCTATACGTCTCTTGTGTGAGACGCGAGTGCAGCAGTCGTATTTGTCCGTCTAGAAAATGCGCTGAATATGCGTTCTGTGTGAATAGCTTGGTTT